ACGGCAACCATGACAATCCTCGCGTATTAATTGAATAATATACGTGTTGTGGTGGAGACGTTCACCAACCAGTGAAGTCTTTTAATGATATGGCTTTTATGTTACAACAGCTGGCAGCCGACGGTGTCGCCTTGTGAAGGTTAATGTTCACTTACGATATATATATACATATAAACTTGTGTATATTCACAACTTGTGTACAGGTATATTCACCAATGAGGGGGAATATGTCAGGACATACTCGTACACAGCTTCAGGTTATTAAGAGCCAGTCATTGCTGTCCTATGCCTCGGATTAACTCATTTATAATTCATGAACTTGTAGCGTGAAGTGATCTGTTCATTGCTGGCAGTGTACAGTAATCGTATTTATTTTTACTTGTTGAAACCGTTCGGTCTAGCGTCTAGGCGTTGCGATGTTTGTGTTGCTGCGTCAGGTTGGGCGTTTTTTTGTGAACTTCTCAAATAAATTTACCTTTGTATGAAGATTCTGAACAATTGTTCTGAAAAATATCTAGGTGTTATATCCAAGAAATCCAGTGTTTGTCATACAAAGGCTACAGCGGCGTCGGTTGGGCTACAGTAAATTCCAGGACCGTAACTTTCAAGTTGAGGTCAGAATTCTAGTCGCTTGATACTCAAAATTATTACGTTTTGGAATTTTTAATTGGGTATCATAGAAAGGTTGGTGTTTAAGGTCATCTTAGGTTATAGGTCAAGATCATAATATTCATGCGTCAAGGCAAGGGTTTGGAAAGTCCTGTACTGGTTACCCCCATAAATGTTCCATGTGTTTTGGTCTCGGCAGCATCGCTACCAGACTTGTTATGATTGAGCTTGGTATAGATAAAAACTTGATTGAACTTGTTATAAAAAAGCGTAAATGAACTTGATAGTATACATAAGAACCTGATTTGGCTTGGCATAAATAAAAACCTAATTGAACTTGGTTCAGTATACAGTATATAAAATCCTGATTGTTCTTGGTATAAATAAAAACCTGCTTGAAACTACAATATAAAATAATTTAACTTAGTATGAGTTAATACCTTATTGAACTTTTCTGTAATAAAAGCCAATATTCAGAATAACTACTCGAGAAGTAAATAAACTTACAGGGTCGACGTTGTATTGGATGCTGAATCTATGGTTCATTTATTTAGACCAAAGTCAAAATGAACCAAGTCTACCCACGTGCATGGGCGGAGCTTATAATGTGACGTCGTCGGCCGAGGTGGATATTCTTGCTATCTATCCTGATTTTCTCATCCCCTAGCACACTATCGTTCAGTCAGCCACTTGAACTTCTCATGTAATCATTATGTTTTGTATTCCTATTATTATTATTAAAAAAATATTATTAGTAGTAGTAGCCATCCTCTGCTTTGATATGCATCCACATACGGAGAATTTATCAGGCATTGTCATAGACCTTTGCACTACAACGACCAGCTGGTAACTGAGCCTCCCACCCCGGGCTGCCGACCAGATGACGTCATGTACGGTGGAGGACGAATTTTCGACTCGAAGTGGGTTGACTTGGTATAATAGACTTTGGATGCGACAGTAAGGCCAGTGGAAGCAAATTTCCATCAATCTAGAGTACTTAATTATTTATTTTTCTTATTGAAGTTTGCCAAAAAATATATCGTTAATGTATCATCATCTTTTTTGATAATGTAGCTATCAAATGAATGAATAAAAATGTTTTATAATTCAGCTCGTGATAGGTATGTCTGGTTTATATGTTGAATTTAGAAAAACTAAGATACCTGACCGAAGATATATTTAACCTACTGGGCTTGAAAAATAAGTTAGATCCTCTCTCTCTCTCTCTCTCTCTCTCTCTCTCTCTCTCTCTCTCTCTCTCTCTCTCATACACCCTGTTCATCATCATTATTATTATTACACACAGAGATAACTACAGTACTCCTCTTTCTCCCTTCTCCCTGGGGGTCACAAAACGGGTGGTGAGAGCGTCATAATGAAACGGTACATATCGCTTTCTGACGAGGTGTCTCATGCATGTAAGTCTAATAAAGAAGGTTCATATATCGCCCCGGCACAAGGCAACTGAGGACGTGATAATGATATGATGAATAAGGTCATATATCCTCGGTGACGTTATTCGCTTACTAAAAATGGCCCGCTATAATGGCTTAATGACTGATATTAATATTGTTGTAATTACCCGCATAACTACACTGCTTTTACACTCTTGTCTACTCGTGGGGGGGGGGGTTACGGTACTGTTATTATCGATTTTTCTTTCTTTCTGGTAAGGGTAATGGAATTTTAGCGGATTTGTTAAAGGTATGGTCTCTCTCTCTCTCTCTCTCTCTCTCTCTCTCTCTCAGGAACATATTGATATGAATACAATGTTGTTTACTCACATCCGTCTGTATATTTGTCACTGTGTGTGTTTACGTCTATTACACCCATGCACGTCGTAAACAAGGTCTTTTAACACAATTAGGGAAATTAGTGGACGTCGATGAATATAATTGCGCAGGTTTGCTTGGATGTGTTTGTATGTAGATTCTTGCTTCATAAAATCTTTTGTTATGAGGGAGACTTTGTCCTGGACGGTGCCAAAGGGTTCTATTGTGTGTCTTTTGAAGATCTCCGCCTCCTATCCCTCCTCCTCATCACTAGTATCGTACTCATCTTCATATTAATTCTACATTATTTGCAACTCATTTTCTTTTTCAGTTTTCTTTAGTATTACTTAGTCTTCCAGTTCTTCCCACTTACTCTCCTTCTAGTCCAAACGCTATTTACATTTAACGAACACGGTAATCGAAGCCGGTATGGAAGAGTGAAAGTGAAGTTCTAGTACTGAAGTCGTCCATCGGGTTTTAAAATTAATTACTTTCAGTCTCTCCTGTAGAAAATGGTCAGAAGAGGAGAAGGGGAACTCTGAGAAATGGAAATCTGTATTAGTTCAACAATAATTGACCCCTGACTTTTAGTAATAATTTAATGTCATAGATACTTATCAGTTCAATAGAATATTGTACAGTTCCCCAATACTCGTATGAATTTACAAACAAAAGTCGTTAATCGGTGTAGCTTATCAGAAACTTAGTACACCATTATGATATTTCTGAATATCACTTGGTAATTTAGGTAAATAAAATCATGTTATCGTGAGTGTTGGTCAGGTGTGTTGTTTTGTGCTAGTGACAAAGGTAGAATCATGGGTGAGTTGGCGAATAAAGATCCCATGTGCTTTTGTGTATTTATAGATAGACTACAGTAAAAACTTTTAAAATGTTTTTGCCGTTTGTAAGAATATTAATCTGGTAACACTAATTTTGTATGAGGACAACTCAGAGTACAACATTACCCAACAGGATATTGTCACGGGCAAGAAGTGATGACAAGGCAGTTGATGCTTCAAAATTAACATTACCTTCAAGTGTCAGGGAGTCGTTTTAAAGGCATCAGACGTGATCATTTCCCATCAGTCATGCTCGGTATTCAACACAGAAAGCAGGAGTTTACTTACATGACGTTGCAGAAACCACGTCAAAAATGTCACTTTCATTTACCGGATGTTGCTAAGTTACGATACACATTCTTTCACGACTGGAATATTTTAGTCTTGAATCTTGAGATCTTATTAACTCCATATATCATTTAATTCTGATACCTATTGTGGTGATGAAGTGAGGGGGGAGGGTATTGGCTGACCTCTGACTCTAGTTACAGTACTGATATCAATTTGCATCCATTCATGACACTCAGTTCTAATTTGTTTAACATTAAAAAAAAAAGAATCACTCTCAACGTTTATTTTTTTTTATGCATCTTGAAAGAGGTTGGGCGCAGTGTTTGGTCAGATACAGTACAGTATAATTGTTCTTATATATATATACAGTATATATAAATACATTGTTTTGTATGTTATAAAAATATATATCATTTTTTATATTGAATGTAACGAAGATTAATGTCGGCCGCAGTGTTAGACCAGATAAAGTATTTATAAATGGATCAAGATTTACGAGATGCCGCCGCTCATGAAATGTTAACTCGATTTTATATTGTGGACGTGTACAGTGGCTTAGGCCTATAATGGTGGGGGGGGGGTCACCTCGCCACATGCTGCTTGGTTACTCTTACGCCCTCCCTCTCTTACTATTACTCCTCATCCCTGGCTCTCACTCTCCCTCTCCTGCTACCCTTTCTTCTTCTTGGTTCTCTCCCTCCCTGGTTACTCTTACCCCTTCCCCTCCAGGCTCGCGCTATCTCTCTCCCCCTCACCTTCTCTCCCTCCCTAAATACCCTTATCCCCCCCTTTCCTCCCTCACAAATACCACCCCCACCTGGCTCTCTTTCCCTCCTTTCCTCCCTCACCATTTCCTCCCTCCTGGCTCCTTCCCTCCCTCACTTTCCACTCCTCCTTACCCTACCCTCTGACCTCTTGTTATGATACATGTTAAGATCAGTAACTACCCGTATTAAAGTAATGTTCCTAGTGTCTCTGTTCTGTTATATGGCATCAGCACATATATATTTTTCTCTGCTATTAATTTTTAAATATTTTGTATACTGTTTTATAATGTCCCAGTTAAGGGTATTTTTTTTTGTATCCTGTGATTGGTTAACGAGATGAGGTGTTCATTCTCACCTCGATGTTCACGTCTTGGAGCTGTTGATATACCTAAATGCTTTGGGAGCGCGACGTATAGCTTGTCTGATCAATTTATTTATATACTTACGTCGAGTAGTAAATGTTTTTATATCTGGTTATGTATTATATAAGTGTGGAGTAGGTGATGGTATAGTTATGTTCAGTGTCACGATACGGCTTGTAGAGATGTATAGAATATAATATATATACTGGTGATTGATTTACTTTATGTAAGACTCATAAAACTGTTCCGAGACAAATTTCACACTTTGGTTTACTTCCTTTATTAAGAGGTGTTTGTGCTGTGTTTGCAGGGCTTCACTTAACAACATGTTGATAATACTTTGTGTATGTGTTTCAGATAAGGCCGTGTACTCGCCTGGGTATGCTCCCGATAACGGCATGGTAAGTAGGACGGTCTTGTTACACTCACCATACTGTACTGCTGGTTAGTTATCTAATTAATTAGCTTGTTGCGTTATTTTGGTATGTGTTCCTGTAATGCTCAGGACCTAACCTAACCAATCTTGTTGTGTATGATGTGCTGTTCTGTAACCCTGATTTATTTAACTTCATCTTAATCAGTTTATTATATGGATAAATCACTGTATACTCTGTGGTTGGTGAAAAGATCTAGAGGAGTCATTGTTGTGTGTGTGTGTGTGTGTGTGTGTGTGTGTGTGTGTGTGTGTGTGTGTGTGTTGTTAATATTATGTACATCTCTCTGCTAATTAAAAAAAAGGAAATGAAGGACTACATATTAAGTACAAAGTTAAAACATTTTCGACATACACATCAGTCGTTAGAATTACATAGTACTCCTTAAACTATAGCATAATTCCCACAGTTCAAGTAAAAATTTTGTCCCCACACGTATAATATATATTAAAAAAATTATATATATACATTGTCGTTTTATCATCAAAGAATGAAAGTTGAAAATGTTGATACGTCAAAAAAAAATAAAAATAAAAAGACGGAAGCTGGATATTGTGTGTTACTTTTTTGTGTCCAGGTGTGGTAAAAATTAAAGTGCTATTGTTTACATGAAAGGTGACGTTGGTGATTATCTTGTGATGCTGAGTCTTTTTTTTCTTTTATTTTTTACCAGTTTATTGTTGATATTATTAATTTGTTTTATTTTACTGTTTGAGTTTGGCCTAGAATTTTTTTTTATTTTTTTTTTGACTGGCAATAGAACGGTTGGTGCACACATGGTGACTGAATGGTGGTGCACACATGGTGACTGAATGGTGGTCCATAAATGATGACTAGATGGTGGTGTACACATGGTAACTGAACGGTGGTGCACACATGGTGACTAAACAGTGGTGCACACATGGTGACTGAACGGTGGTGAATACAAGATTTAACGTTGGTGCACACCTGGAAACTGACACTGGAACAATGATGTACACATATAAGTTAGCATAAGAACAGTGACGACGTTTGAAGGAATGTTATTGTAATCATCTGTCGTGTCATCAAAGTCCCACGCGATGAACCGTCTGTGTTGATGGTGGAGCAACCAGTACCTGATAGTAGAGAATCTCGGACGTGTGGGGGGGGGGTAGTAATAATAATAATAATAAACGGTTTATTAATAGAGTTGCAGCCGGTGGCTGAAAATATACAAACTTTTGTGATTTAGACATAATGATATGCGTTCAATACATTTACAGGGCTGTACAGTACATATATCAGGAGTTGTTTATTATTTTAACAATAGATGGGATGGTGCTATTCTTATATCTATCAGTCCGGGCTCTTATGGGCGGAATTTTGTTGTAGTGACGGACTTCGCTAGGTGGGCGGGGGACTGCCGGTGGCAGGAGGTGGCGATGACGAGGATGGTGCAGTAGTCCACTGCCAAACCTTGCTAGTGCGTGGTGGTGGAGGTCACTGAGGGATGACATTTCCAGGGTGGAGAGAGCGTTGCTGTAGCCAGAGTAGTCTGCACCGAGCATGATTCTGCAGGCCCTTTTCTGTACCTTCTCTAGCTGGCATTGTTGGGCAGAGTTGAGAGATGACCAGGCTGGTGAAACATACGTTAATTTGGGGAGAATAAAGGCGTTGTAGATTATCCTCAGCTCTGACGTGGGTGTCCCAAGTAACCTGTGTGTGTGGGGGGTGAATATGTATGCGTGTGTTGGTATGGGTTTAGATCTATATATTCGTAGGTGTAGGTGTGTACAGGTATGTGGGTTCGTGTACTTGTTTACATATGCTCACTTTTTTAATGTTTGCACTTAAATATGTGTTGGTGTGCATTGGGGAGGTTGAATGTGTGTGTGTGTGTGTGTGTGTGTGTGTGTGTGTGTGAGAGAGAGAGAGAGAGAGATGTTACTCACTGTGGGGTAAATTTGTGACGGTGATCATTTCCGAGGTCTTGCTGATAGGGCTGGGAGGTGCACAGGTGTGGCCGGTGAGAGCCGAGTGACGACAATGTGTGTCTCCTGTTTATACCCGATGTGTGGGAGCTCCTTCAATGAGCTTCGGATTGCTTCATGAAAAAAACGAGTTATTTTACTTTCCCTTGTACACAGGCATCAAAGGAACCTCTTCATAACCCACAACAGGTAGAAGGATGACGCCTTTCAGTGTGGAGTTGCTCACATTTTTGTTCCCTATAATACTCGAGTACCCTCAATACAGTGGCTGATAAAGCGACAGTACCGAGATAGGTCGTGATAACGTGTAGGTGTCTTTGAGATCCTGTGAGTAAGTTTGACGTAAGGCAAGGGGAGGGAGGGCGGGGGTAGGAGAACCGTCTTTTACCCACTGGACATACTGGACTATGGTAAGGTAGCAAACTGGTTGTTAAGGGCTGAGTCTACAACACAATCATCGCATTTTACCTCACTGGGGGAGCTATCTACGGTTTTTTTTTATCAGACAACTTCGTAGATTACATTTATATTCTCAAGTGTTGATGGATAATTAGAAGTGATTAGATAGGTGAAGTAAGACTATTATTACAAAAAAAAGCGATGTGACTACTGTACCTACATATGGTTATACTTATGATAAAAAGCTGTTAACTCTTGTGAAGATTATATGTAATGTTTGCCGACGATTTTGGTGTCGGTGCCCCGTATTTACTGGTCAGAGGCATTTAATTATAGTGGCCGAAAAGTTTCGGTAGCCATAAGACCAGACTTATTACAGACTCGTGAGGAGGTGGCATTGTGTACAGGAGCCGGGCGTGACTCTTGGCCCCCCACCCGAGCTTGTCAACCCAGACACCTGTAACATTAATACGAAGGATAATGGCCTTGTTTCTTTTGTTTTTTTAATTATACACCGTGTTTCCATGCCTGTAATATTCAATGTGGTGTTGTATATATAATTTGTTCTGATAGTGTGTATGTGTGTGTCGAGGAGGACGGGTCATGTGGCACGCGTGAGATAGACGATATGAGACACTTGATGGTGGTGTCAGTCAGGTGCCGCCCCAGGCATGACGGACGAGGCGAGGTGTCAGTCCACCACGCCCACACCTATTGTATATTCTTTCGTAACCTGCATATGTATCATGTTGCATGAGATCACATGGTAAAATGGCCATCGAAGTATTTCAGGCAGTTGTTTGCATGTAACTGCTTGCCTACCACTTATATTTATTCTGGTCTAAGCAAAATGGCGTTATCGGTGCATTCGCCTTTCATTTATAAATGTTTATTGGTAATGTAAACCTTTTATCCACCATAGATCATATTAGAACTAAGTCTTGAGGTGCGATTCGCTAGTTGGAATACAGTACTCTCATTGTGATATATAATGTGAAGGAGGAGTTACTGGTGTGCTAGAAAGAGCGAATCTGCTCAACATGTGGTGGGGTTTACCGGTGACCCTCTTTATTACGCTAGGGCTCTGTGTTCTCCCATTATGTGTTGGTAAGTCTTCTCCTTCCGTGTCTGTCATCACATATCCCGGTACCTCCTCTTGTGTTGATGCTCCTCGTCCATTATCCTGCTTAATGGGACGCACTGCCCTCCTTCTGTGACTTAGACATTTTGTTTTCTCCAGTCGGCATTGGATTATGTGCCGCCGCCCCCTGCGACGGTACGGTACGTCCTCTCGCACCATTTTCTAACCCTCTCCTCAGTGTGGTTGAGGACCGTCCTCACTCGTCTGTGAGATGGAGAGCCCCATCACCCTCAGAGTGTGGTGGGTACCCCTGTTCCACCCGTTTGTGTGTGTGACGGGTACCTCTCCTCCACCCTTTATGTAGTGGTACCTCATGTCCGTCCTTGTGTGTGATGGGTATCCCTTAGCCATCCCTGTTTGTGGTGGCGAGCTGTCTTGTTCACTGCCTCGTGTTGTGGCGAGCTGTCTTGTTCACTGCCTCGTGTTGTGGCGAGCTGTCTTGTTCACTGCCTCGTGTTGTGGCGAGCTGTCTTGTTCACTGCCTGGTGTTGTGGCGAGCTGTCTTGTCCACTGCCTGGTGTTGTGGCGAGCTGTCTTGTTCACTGCCTGGTGTTGTGGCGAGCTGTCTTGTTCACTGCCTGGTGTTGTGGCGAGCTGTCTTGTTCACTGCCTGGTGTTGTGGCGAGCTGTCTTGTCCACTGCCTGGTGTTGTGGCGAGCTGTCCACTGCGGTGTTGTGGCGAGCTGTCTTGTCCACTGCAGCTGCCTCTGCCTGTGTTTGTGGTCTGCGTCGCCTGTTGTGGCGAGCTGTCTTGTTCACTGCCTGGTGTGTGTGTGTCACTGCCTGTGCCTGTCTTGGTGTTGTGGCGAGCTGTCTTGTCCACTGCCTGTGTGTTGTGGCGCTGTCTTGTTCACTGCCTGGTGTTGTGGCGAGCTGTCTTGTTCACTGCCTCGTGTTGGAGGCTGTCTTGTTCACTGCCTGGTGTTGTGGCAGGCTTGTCTTGTCCACTGCCTGGTGTTGTGGCGAGCTGTCTTGTTCACTGCCCGTGTCGAGCTGTCTTGTTCTGTGTGTTGGTGAGCTGTCTTGTCCACTGCTGTGCCTGGTGTTGTGCAGGCTGTCTTGTTCACTGCCCTGTGTGTGGCGAGCTGTCTTGTTCACTGCCTGGTGTGGTGGCGACTGCCTGGTGTGTGGCGAGCTGTCTTGTTCACTGCCTCGTGTGTGGCGGCTGTCTTGTTCACTGCCTGGTGTTGTGGCGGCTGTCTTGTCCACTGCCTGGTGTTGTGGCGAGCTGTCTTGTTCACTGCCTGGTGTTGTGGCGAGCTGTCTTGTTCACTGCCCGGTGTTGTGGCGAGCTGTCTTGTCCACTGCCTGGTGTTGTGGCTGTCTTGTTCACTGCCTGGTGTTGTGGCGAGCTGTCTTGTTCACCCTGTGTGGTGGCGAGCTGTCTGTGTGCGGTGCCTGGGCGTGCTTGTTGGCTGGCGAGCTGTGTGGTGTGTGGCGTATTGGCCTACTGCCTGGTATGTGGTGGTTGTCCA